CAGAGCGATATAAACCTTGGAAATTATTCGAATGTTTTCAAGAATAGTTTTCTTATATTCTATAAAACACGTTTTTAAAAATTAAATTCATTTTTACTAATACTTTTGTCTCACAATTTGCTTTAATTCATTCCAAATCAATTTTTGCTTCAGATATAAGAGAAGAAGCTGATAATTTCAACAATGTTAAAATTTTATGTATGCGAATAAGATTGCATCACAGTTACATCTTATAAAGTACTACAGTGACTGCATATAAATTTACAAATTCTTGCGAATAAGCAGTTATTAATATTTAATGCAGGGTGTTTGTGAAAACAGAATGTATATCTGAGATCAGTTTATTTGGTCTATTGTTGTTTACACAACTTTAAAAAAAAAAAAAAAACTCAAAAAACGTTTTGTTACCGTAACGTCTAGCCTACAGCAAACTTGACTTCTTTGATTTGTAAGCCCGAATTACGGAAATGGTAAGAGTAGGCATGGCGCCCGAACTAAAAGGTGGTAGACAGTAATTCATCACCACCAGGATTTGGCGAATGAGTCCCCTAACAACCAGTGGTCCTTTATAAAGGGGAGTATATAAGGTATTTTCTCCCTCCTTCCAGCATACCTTTGTGGTGTAACAGTAGCGCACTCGACGCGTATTCGAGAGGTCAAGGGTTCGAGTCCTGGCAGGGAACTACACATTTTTCACCTATTCAGCTTCAAAAAGAAAACAAAAAACTGATGACTCTACAACCGTACTTAAGATAACACTTATTTCTTACATTTTTTCGTTTACTAATCTGTTTAAAATTTCTTTCACAATAAAATTTTCAAACTTTTTCAAATTTATCGTTAAGGCTTTATAATCAATCGATTTCGTCATATACCTTAATTTCAAGTTAAGAAAATACCTGGTGCGTTTCAAGAGATTATTATAGTATAAGTATATATTATGTTATGTTAGGAATTAAAAATATTTTCCTAATGAAAACTTAAGCAACTAATGAAAACAAACTGCATGGTTTAATAAGTAAATAGATATCTTGAAGTTACAATAGTAGATTCACACTTTAATGCTCACCATCGTAATTATTCGATGACAATTTTCCATCATTAATTAAAAATTCCCTTCTATCGCTTTTCAAAATGCAAATTTCGCTTCGGATATTACATAAACACGAGGACCACTAATGATATACTTTGTTATTTTGAGATCTTATTTTTATTTTCGAAGCGTTACTCAAGTTTGAGATTCGATGATAAAAAAAGAACTTCGTCATTAAATATAAGAGAAATGGATTTCTTAATCCCAGACAATATCTACGACATCACCGAAGAGGAAAAATTCTAACTGCTGATTCTATTGTGCGTAATATCTCACGTAATTACTTCGCTTGCGGGCCCGATTATTTCAGAATTCATCATCTAACCAATCAGCCTTTCCAAACCTGAGAAAAATTCCCTCTGCCATTAAGTAAACATACTTTCTAATTACATTTGTTGCATCCCGCAGAGTTTGGTGACGTCGCTAACAATGTGAAGTGGAATGCCGAAATTCTAAAAAGTATTCCAGAGAGTGGCAAAGAAGAAAAAAGTTGCCATATATTCCTTTCATCCCTTGATGGTATATGTGGAAAGATGAATATTTCTCTAAAAAGGTGTGGGAATTCATGCAGAGAATTTTTGATTTCTAGAAACTGCTGAAAAATGTCGCCGCAATATTTTCTAAAGAATTTTAAATTAAGTATCGAATTCCTGTATTTCTTTTTTCGTTATTTATATGCAGTTATTTATATTTTGCTTTCATCGGCAATGGAATTGAATGTTTCCGAAACCGGAGTTACTTCATACCAGGAATGTTTAGCCTGTCTTTTATCTTTTTTGCTCGAAATCTGCTTTTGACGTGGTGAGTTGTTAAATAACATTAATGGGGCATTCCGTTTTATTGCCAGCAAGTCATATAATCATGACTGATCTTCCGTTATAACAGAATAAAGTATTTGTAACGAAAAGAATCATTTCTTATATTGATATAAGTTTAAAGTGAAAGGTTCGTCCCCAACATTTAAATATTTCCACATTTAAAAATTTTAAAGTGTTATGAATAGATAATAGGATATGTTTCTGACACTTTTTTATAGTAACTAATTTCCTTGTCATTATATGATTTTTGTATAATAAAAATAATTGTTTCTCTAATATAAATTTCATGAAACTTATAAATCAAAAAGAATAAAAAAACACATAGCAAAACTCTGCGCAAATGATTCATTATATGCAGATTTCAATTACGTACTTTTATTCTACTATTGCAGAATTTTCCTGTGCTTATTATACTACGAAGAATTTTGTGGTGTACTTCGTTTATAATCTGTTTACGTTTTTATTACATGTATTACATGCATTTGAAATCGCAAAATGCTGACATAAATCAATAAGAAATATTGTAGGAGTAATTAATTTTTTTGTGTCCTGATATTTAGTAAGATAAACGTGAATATGCATCATTATTCATAAAACTGTCCACATTTAAAAGATTTTTAATTAATGGATAGAGCCAATTATGTATATATCTTCAGAGATCTGAAGAGTGTGGATACATGTTACACCTCCGCATGAGCATCTAGTCATACATGTTCGTGTTTAATCTAAGATCTCATCTTGCGTCTTTCAGTGAAGGAAGGTGGGGTAACCTCCTATAGGGCTATTTACCGAAAGGGAGGTATAGGGACTTTATTTAACTTAATCAATTTCGAGCAATATTTATGTAAAAACTTGGAATCATGATGCATAGCTTATTAATACATTATTTATTTTTGCCTATTAATTAACTAATTTCAAACTGTTTTTTTTTCTAAACTTCGGTTTAATTTCCAAAATTTGCATGATTCTCATTTTGAGCTTTTAAACTGGTAAAGCTCTAATCATAAGAATCAGCATTTGTAATTACATGTAGATGAAATGAAGTGAGAAAAAAATAGATGTTGGAATTAAAGGTCAGGAAGAAACATGTATGGTTTTATTACAGAAGTATAGAGTTTTAACAATTAAAACAAATTATAATGAAAGTTACGCGATAAAGTTTGAAGGGCTATGTGAGTACAGATTTAAAGATTTTTTCGCAGCATTATATGTAATAACATAGACAGCAACCTCCTGCCATTAATTCGATAAATATGATGAATAGAGCAACGGATAGGAGAGTGATGTTTTGTATTTCAGAATTCAGCAAAGGAATTCTTATTTAACGCAAATTTTGAAGAAGAAATTTTGAAGCTTAAGAACTCATTCCGAAGCAGTAAATCTACAAATGATAGATGCAAGATGTTTAAAAGTATGAGCTATTTGTGAAAGAGAAAAGTCCTGGACCACCTCGCCTATCAAGAACGACCTTTGATACGTTCGGAGCTTTACTTTCTAACCTAAGTCCAAGAAAATTAATTGCTTACTAAGCCTATAGCTTAGAAATGTTTTGGGTAAAATTATTTTGTACATTCTTTGCATTGACTCTTTGTACAAAGACCCATCGCACTTTGGATTTGCATTGTGTATATTCTGTACAAAGTGAGATATTTACAAAACTAAATTAATTTGGGAAAATAAAACAAATTTTCTTCACCATTTTACCTATTCAGATGCGTGACGCACAGTCTGATCCATGTTCACCGCGCAGTTTTCGGGAGAGAAAACCTCATATCTACACGCACATATGTCTTCAAGTTTCATTATACTATTTTTTACTTGGATGTTTTTTTCTATATTATTGAAAATGTATATCGGATTGTAATACCCGTAATTGTGCCTACGTTGCGAACTTTAAATTACTAATGTAAATTATTGATTGAAGATAAACTGATTATTTTTAATAATTGTAAATGATACTTATTAACTATAATAGAGAAACAGCTAAATGTTCGTATTTAAATCATATTCTTTTTTTTAATTTCTTATGGTAAAAATTGAATAAATGTTTCAAAAATATCTTATATTAAAAAATTCTTTGTCCTTTTTAAAATGAGGACATTTAAAATGCAAATTTCTTGTTAAATATTTTGATGGAATATGTAAGTATTTACTTCTCTAATATTTTAATGATTTTTATTCAAATAGATAGTAGTGTGCTTTTATAACTGTTTGGAAGTGATTACAGTCTACAGATAATCGGTAAATAGTAGATGATATTCATCAAAGATTTGGTAGTGTTCTAATTTACATATTGCAAGTCCAACTAAAACTCAGACCTTTATGCAGTGCTTAGCTGTTTTCAGTTTTTTGCCCTGATCCCGAAAAAGGACATGAAAGCTATTTGCCTAAGGGAATGCTTCAAACATAATGTTCTAAACTGTTTTGTATTCAAGTTATACATAAGAAAAACTGCGAAAAAATCCAAGCAGAAATCCCTTTCTTCGGGATTCCAGACATCTAGAACTATCAGTGTTCAGCTGTCTCATTTGTTCGTCCAATGGTGGAACTTCATAATAGTTAACAAAGAAGATTTGAAAATTAATGGAAGTCCACCTCCAAAGAACGATTTGATTTAGTTCTGCCCCACCTTCATCAGAACAGCATGAATATGAGAATTGTACATTAACTTTATAAAATGGATATCTATGGCTCGTTCTGCAGCGTTGACTTGCCCATATACTAACAGAGTTATGAGACTCTTTGAACTCGTCGTAGTTTATATGCAATACTGGAAATCTAGTTTTAAATTTCCTAAAGAATTAATATTATGACAAATCTTCTTACGATTACCATACTTAAACACTTTCTAATTAGTGTTTTTTCTCTTTGACTGTAATATTGTTTTCAATAAAAACAGGGTAAGGATTCAGTTTTAACTATTTAACTTGGAAAAGTCACTAAATTTATTAAAGCATCCACAAATTTTGATTTAATACTAGATCGGTTATGTCAATTTTTTTCTTTCAGATTACAGTTGTAATTTATCTGTAGAGCAACCTGCATTTTGTCATATGCATTTTGATTAAGCTTTATTGTAATTTTCCTAGATCCTCCAGAGAATATCCAGGTATCTCTGAATTTAATTGACATCGTCGAAGGAGAGACACCAGAAGATGTGATTTGCTCGGCATCAGCTTTCCCTCCTGGACATTTCCTGTGGACTGTGGGTGAGACTGTTCTTTCACGGTCACACATTTTATCTTTCAATGCTTCTGTCACCAGAGATATGGCTGGAAACTACTCATGCAATGTTAAAAACTCTCACGGACACGCAAGGGCAGATCTCGTTCTCATGGTGAATCGTAAGGAAAACTTATTTATTTATTTATTTTGAATTTTAAAATCTATCATTTTTATCTGTTTGAAGTTAGAAGCCATTTATATTAAAGAACGTCGTTAAAATATTAAATACTCTATAAAGTTATTAGTATTTCGCATGAGAGAAGTTTTTTTCATACTTATACCTTTAAAGTCTGCACATGCATAAATCAGAAAATCAAAATAAATCCATCTCAGTATTTTCGAGCCTCAAACCCAAGAGCATTTCCCAAGAGATGAACATGTATTTCCTATTGGAGAATTACAACTCCTGGTTCTGCAAAGTTCCTATGCTCCCTGATCTTTCGCTGCTCATTTCATTACTTTTTCGTTCATTCTGGTAGCATTGCTGAGCGACATTTACAACAAGTTATTACTTGTCCCCTAAGACCGAGCACAAAATAAGCTCGGGATCTTTACCACCCATCTTGGGAGCTCCAGCTCAAAGCATGAAATGCATTGGTGGATTCTGTATTGTCTTCTTTATCTGGAAAAGACGTTATGTTGCTATGTTTTAAATACTTGGTCTCAAATGTTGTCTTATTGTTATATTGTGAGTCCTTAATCTTTGTCTTTTATCCTTGGCTAACATATTCAAAGACATAACAATACATTTTTTGCACTTTTATAAAAATCAAAGCTTTTCGTGACTATTTATCTTAAAATAATGTTAAGTTTCTAAAGAATTCAATAGAAACGAAGTTACAGAACTACTTGAGATATGATAGACTGTAGAAAACCGGTCAAAAATAACATAGAGCTTCATTAAAATAATATGACACGTTTGTTCAAATAAATTGCAGAAGATAAATATGATACAAAATTAATGTTTTTACAAACATCTGGGAATTATGTTCTCCCTACAAAACGTAAAATAACTCAAGAATGTTCAGTGTAGAGATATACATGAAAATGGGTGCGAAATGTTAAATATTTTAAATTCTTAATTCGTCAGTTAATACTGAGATTAAGTTGTGTTTGCAATAACCCATAGATACACATAAATGTGAGATCTAGAAAGGAAACACATAATTAAGAAATTACCTAGACGAGAGCCCAAAAAATCACAAATGAATTATTCTTATTTTTCAGAGTCACTATATCAGATATACATGAAAGATATACATGAAACATGAAAATGGGTGCGAGATATACATGAAAATGGGTGCGAAATGTTAAATATTTTAAATTCTTAATTCGTCAGTTAATACTGAGATTAAGTTGTGTTCGCAATAACCCATAGATACACATAAATGTGAGATCTAGAAAGGAAACATATAATTAAGAAATTACCTAGACGAGAGCCCAAAAAATCACAAATGAATTATTCTTATTTTTCAGAGTCACTATATCAGATTAAATATTAATGAATTTTATATATGGTATTATTCACACCAGATCTATATTAAACATGACTTCACAAATATTGCGTAAATACTGCTGCACTCATCTGCACAAGTAAATCATTGTCCATCTGTCCAAAATAGAAGTTTTGAGAAAACTCAACCATGAGGATTGTTAGTAGTCGATCAGTATAAACAGTAATGAAAGTTATTTTTTGAACCAAAGAAAAAAGCGCGTGCACACTGAACTTAAATGAGGAATTACGAAGTAGATGAACAAGAACGTACCAGTGTCTATCTTACTAAACGGTCGAAAACATAACAGCAGCAATCTTATACGAATCTGGAGTTTCACTTTAATAAGCTTCACTTGCAAGTTGATTCGATTCAGTCTCACAAAAAATTTGCATGGCAAACAAGCAACAGTTAACGTAGAAAGCTCATCAGCATCGGCAGGGAAGGAACAGGCCAGAAGGCGGTCCTACATCCTCGAACTCCAGCAGCAGAAAGAGAGGGAGAAACCGGTTGAGGAATCCCTTCAAGCATTGCCTTCGTACGGTCACGATTAACAAAAACGCTGCGTAAATATAGTGGAGGCTTGCCTGCACACTCAGCTGCGATTTTAAGTTATTTAAAATTAAAATAAATAGCAAAAGGAGCTAAGAGTAGCATCTCGAAATTATATTCCAGTTAGTGTCCTTTAAATTAAATAAAATAATTATTTTCTGATTGGTTTGTAAATTGTAAATTCTTTTAAGAAATTGTTTTAAACTGTATTTTTATGTTTTATTTATTTCCAAGTTTAAGCAGTATAAATATGAAATGGTTTATCTTATTGCACAGGGTTTCTGGCATAAAATTTCTTCAGAGAAGTGTCATCTTTTTTTACTGCAAGTGTAATTTGTTAATAATCAAAGTTATATTATTTCGTGTTGTGAAAAAAAATGAAATTATTATCTGCTGTGCTTTTACAGGAATATATTTCTTGTGAAGTCGCAAAAACTTAAGCTTGAAATACATCATTTACAAAAACAAAAATCAAACAAATAATAGCAAGCATTGATAGTTAACAACCATTGAAAGCTAATTTTTTGATCATTTACACAAAGCTTTGAAGTTGACTATAGACAACGCATTATTAGTCTTATGTAACCGTAATTCTTAGCAGAAAGTAAGAAACCTATGATGACTAATTTAACTCTAAAAGATCCCTGGAGCGCTCATTAACATCTCCGCTCGGCTAATCTTCTGCAAGTTTCTTTGTTATTTCTCTAAGCATTCTGCATTGCATAGTGATTTTCTTTAAATGCAGACTTTGCCATGAGATCCCACCGAAATGTTACAGAATATGAAAATAAACGATATAAATGTTCTGAACATAAATATCTAATTATTAAGATATGTACAGTCATTAGGTTATATTGATGCAGAAAAATGAAAAATGTGCAATGCCCTCGCCAGGATTCAAACTCCGAGCCTTCTGAAGAAGCGTCGAGCAACACTGCCATAAGATTTATACAGATACGTTAGACCACGAAGCACAGTTACACCAGGAAAGCATAAGGGAAGGAAGGAGAAAATACCTTATATACTATCGCTTTTAAACGACGACTGGGGATTAGGGGAACCAGTCGCCAAAACCCTGGTGGTGACAAATTATCATCCATCACCTTTTATTTCTGGCTCCACTTGTAGAGTATTTTAGAATTTTTCGTTACCAAGAAAGTGTAGAAATCCACAATACCCTCGTCGGGATTCGAACTCCGTACCTCCCGAATATGCGTGTTTCCAATTACACCACGAAGGTGTGCAGAAAACAGGAAGAAAAATGCCTAATATACTCCCCTTTTTAAAGGGCTAATGGAAATTAGGGGACCCCCATCTGAAATCCTGGTGGTGATGATATATCGTTCACCACCTTTTAATACGAGGGGCACTAGTAGAGATTTTTAGAATTTTAGACGTCAAAAAATGAAAGAAATCCGCAATTGTCTAACCGGTATTCAAACTCTGGGCATTCCGACTACGAATTGAGCGTGCTTCCAGTTACATCAGGAAGACAAATGGAAAAGAAAGAGAAAATGATTTATATACTGCCAATTTTGAAGCACGACCGGGCACTTAGGTGATTCAATCGCAAAATCCTGTTGGTGATGAATTATCGTCCACCAATTTTTAGTTCGGGAGCCGCTTGTAGAGTTACCAAGTTCTATCGATGCAAGAAACATGAAAAATATGCACTGCCCTTGCTGGAAAAGAGAAAATAGTTTGTAAAAATTAAAAACGTTAACTACATAATATCTCATCATTAACTTATTTGAAATACAGTAAAATCTCTCATGATGACTGCATCTCGTAAATTACCACCACTAAAATTAACCAGTATTTCTTACGTGTAACCGTACATTAGTATTTGAACATCATTTGCGAAAGGTGATCACGTTCGCAGGTCAATAATCATCAGGAATGAATGAATACTCGTCCTTTAGAAATTTCACTATGTTAAAAATAATATAATTATATTTATATTTGTAAGTTCAAACTAAAACATTAACTATTTTTGTGTGCGTTGGATTTTTAGATAGTTACAAATAATTATTTCTTAATAATGATTCTAATGTTGAAATTGGAAATGATTGCCTGTTTTTTAATTTAAAAATTTAATAAATATACTCATGCTGCCGCGCTTTTGATATTCCAAGGATAAGCGATGTTATTGCTATTATAATAGTGTCTTTTTAGTATATAAGAAATGATAGCATAATTCGTGCTTTACTCACAGATCTTCATGTGAAATAAGAACTGGTAAATTTTTATTGTAAGTAACATGTCTCTAATCTGTGAAGGAGAACATCATAATTCACGTAAATTAATTTTCTGAAAAATACGTAAAATTTCTTGAACGTATTTCTCAATAATGTTCTTTGAAACTAAAACTCTGTAGCAGGTATACATAATGCATGATAGTGGGAAAATATTTCGTTAACAAACCTTTTATTCAAATTACAATCTGAAGTACAAATTAAAAGCATCTTGAAATTTGAATTAACGATAATTCTAAGGGCTAGAAATCAGTTAGAAATCGAAATTTGTTACTCACTTTCAAAACCATAAATCCTGATGTCAAATTGAGAGAGAAACGAAATAGTTTGGTTTACTGACATGACACTTATCATATTCAATCAAATATAAATAAAATACTTTATTTGGGATCTACTTCACTACATACTTGCGGTTAACCTTTAAAACTAATTTATATTCTAGGCTTTGAAGTTTTATTACAAAAATTATATGTTTTAAAGGAAAAGCTGTGAATAAATACAAGCTCGTCCGGTATCAAAAATGTACTGTGGTCATTAATAAGGGGTTTGGTTTTTTATGTGATTATGGTTAAGCCTCGAGGACTATCTGCCTAATCGGAGGGACGTCTTCAAGGATGAACTTTTAAGGGCAACTGGCTCGTATACATGTTACACATGCTGAAAACCACGAAAACGTAAATGCAGCCAGCCGATTCACGGGATTCGAACCTCGGACGAAACTACTAGTCTTCAGCAACTTCACCGCTCGTCAGCTGATGGGCTCATTATTAATCGGATTTCATATCTATTTTAGGCCCGGTGGCGCAGTGCCTAGTGCTC